CACGGTTCTCAGCATGAGCCACTGGAGATGCCTGGGCCTACAGTGGAGCTGCCACTTGGGGAAGAAGGGGCTGAAACTCCACTTGTAGTACCAAGCACAGGTTCAAGTCCCCCCAGCTCCCTGCTAATGTGCCTGGAGAGCAGCGGAAGACGGCCCAGGTACTTGGGCTTTTGCACCCACATAGGAGACTCGGCTTTAGCCTAGACCCATCACTGCTATTGCAGCCATTTGCACAGAGAACCAGTGGGTGGGCAACTTTTTCTCTCACTATCTCTCTCTCTCTCTCTCTGTAACTCTGCCTTTCAGATAAATAAAATAAGGCGGTCACTGTTTCTTGACTGGGACATCAGGCAGAGGGGTGGGGAGAGTGTGAGAGTTGAGGCCCCTCAGGGGCACAGGGCCTGCCTTGGGGTCCCAGTTCCTCCCACGCTGACTCCATGAGTGAGGGAAGCTGATGCTGGCTCTGGGTTTGGGGTTGCACTGAAAGGTCAGATGTGAAACCCGCGAGCATACGCTGCCCCAGGCCGGACTTTGCAGAAGGCCAGTATGTCAGGGCTTACCAGCAGCCTGTCATGTGACCCCTTGGGCCAGCAGTCCTGCCCTGCCAGTGTGTTCTTATGATAGAGCTGTGAGTGCTGGGGCAGCACGGCAGGGGACAGTGGTTTTGCAGCTGACCTGTGTGTGGGCTGATTGCTTGGTCACTTCTCTGTGTGTGGACGCTTCCCCTGTTTTGTTGGCCTTGGTTTACTCCGGTTCTTTTCTTTCATTCTTTTAAAGGTTTATTTATTTGAAAGGCAGAGTTGAGAGAGAGAGAGATTTATCTACTGGTTCTTTCCCAGATGGCTGCAGTGGCCTGGGCTGGGCTTAGCTGGGCTGAGCTGGACTGGAATCAGGAGCCACAAGCTTTTTCTGAGGACTTAAACCAGCACCCTTATGGGATGCCAGTGCTGCAGGGTGGTAGCTTAACCTGCTTGCCACAGTGTTGGGCCTGTTACAGTAGTTTTAGGAAGAGAGACTAACAGGGCATCCGTGCATTGGGCAGGTGAGGCTGTGCAGTTTCTCTGCTTTCGGTGGTAGATTCTGAGGATGCTGAAATAGCGGGTGTCGCCTGAGGCCAGCAGGAAGCAGTGGGTCACAGGGTTACAGAACCAGGGGGCCTGGTCTGATTGCCCAAGGCTGCTCTGCTGGGGAAGTCACAGCTCTACTCACTGGGGGTGCTGGGGAAATCAGATTTTGAGCAAAGGCTTGTGGGGATGTGGCCGCGGCAGGGCCGAGGCAATCTCGTGAGTTCCTCTTGCAAGGAGATACTGAGCGGTGGGGAGAGACTCTGGGGAAGTGGATTGACAGGGTTGTGGCAGGAGGTTGGGAAACTCCCTGCAGAGTGCTATGGCTGTCATGCCTGCCTCCCCGGGCCCCTTGGCCTGCTCCCCTATTTTCCATGCAGATACAGGGCCTTGAGTTTCTGCTAGGCCTCCCCTTTGGTCAGGAAACACAGGAACACAGGAACCCTGTCTGCAGCCCCCTGGCTCAGCTATGTGTTTCAGCCTTGAACTCCCCAAAGCTGTGCTCACCTTTGGGCTCTGTGGCCCCTCAGGCTGGTTCCCTACAACCTATCCCAGCCCAGAGACTTGACCGCCCCCAGCCAGGGCACAGAAGCATCTCGCAGCCCTGCTAGGGTTATCACCCTGGAGCCCACACTTAGTGCCACCAAGTGTTACTGTTTTTTAGAACATGTTAACTGACTTTGCTTTCTCCTTATTCTCCAGTTCCTCCTCTGCCCCCACTCCACCACATAGGAAAAGATGCTCAGGGCTCCAGTCTGTCCTGCTCCTTATACAGCAGCTGGTTCATCACAGGGGTTAACTTAGCGCTTCCCTGGTAGCAATTCTGCACTCGCGCCAAGCTGAGTGCCTCTGTGGGAGCTCTGTGCTGCCCCCTGCCTGTTGGTGTGGGCGTAGCACCACTCTGCGGAGGTGCCCGCTAATGGAGTACCCTGTGGTCTGGAGTCTGACTTGCAGAGGGGCTTGGAGCCTCCTTGTGTGCGGAACATTCTAGTGATTGAACCACAATCCACACAAGTGTTGTTGTTGTTTTTTAATGTCCAAAGTGCTTATAAATAAATTGAAGTTACTTGCTGTTCTAGAAAAACTGGGAGATTTCATACTGTAATTTCAGCATTCGTTAGAAATCCTAGAATCTTTGGATCCACTGGGCCTGGTTTGTAAATGGCTACCCTTGGCTGGCTCTGAGCAGGGACACTGCAGACCGTCACCCAAGGGGCCACTACCTCTGTGTCCTCCGGCTGGGCCAGGAAGTCTCCTAAGCTGTGTGATCTTGGAGTGTGAGAGCGACTCTGAGAGGCTGATAGTTCCATGGAAAATGTGTCACTTCCTGGGATCTTTCTACACAGTGTCCTAGTACCAGGACTAGCTGGCTATTCTGTCCCATCTTCCAGGAGAGAGAAAATCACCACCAACGGGTCCCAGGGCAGGGCCCAGCAGGGGACCTGGGGCACCTGCTGCTGCTCTGCCTCCTCCTGGCTACGCCCATAGAACGCACTCGGTGCTCAAGTGTGGTGCAGGTGTCAGTAGAGCCTCCTGTGGGCAGCGCTCAGAGCACACTGCGGCAGGGTCACACACGGCTGAGCCCCTGTGCTGTCAGGGACACGGCCTCTGTCCCCTTAGGCTTTCCCCATGCACTTGCTTCCTTGTCCTGTGGTCTGCCAGCTGTCCTGGGGTGATAATGAGTGCGGCAGCCAGCAGGGCAGCACAGTTCCCAGCCCCCTTTGCCTTGCTGCCTTGCATGTTTGCACGGTTGTCGTCCAAGTGAAAAAGAGATTCTTTCGCGTCCGCCCGCCGCGGCTCGCGGCAGGCAGCCGGGGCACGCACGGGTTGCAGGGTGTTTTGTTTACTCAGCTGTGCACTGAGCGTTTTCCTACCTGCATCATATGCTGATTACTCCAGCACCGGATGGTTACACTTTATTTGCCCCTTTGCTGTACTTGGATATTCCTCCCTCAGCTCCCTGGGATGTTAAATACTGTCATAGTGAGCAGTTTGCTCCATGTAAGTGTTTCTTAATGTTTTGAATGTGTCAATGCCTAGATCAGGGGAGAGGAGAATAAGAATTAAAGACATTGTTTTCCAAGGCAGCCAGGTTGGAGAAGACGTGTTTGGCTATAATTTTACCTGTGTTTGGATTAGAGTTTTTGTAGTTGTAGTAATGTAGTGCGAGCAATGTGGAACTTGGCTTAGCAGCCTTAAGTGTGATTATTTGTATAATTGAAGAGTTGTCTCAGGACTTAATAACTATATTTCTTGTATTTTTTCCCTTTGAGAATAGTTTGGGTGTCTGTCAGAATATAGGTTTTGTAATTGTGAGTATATAGCACGGGCCGATGACCTGCCCAGCAAGCGTTTCTGGTGTGTATGGTTTTCCGTGTTTATCACCCAGTGCGTTTTATGTGTGTGCCTTTCTGTTTTTCGGAGGAGAGTCTGACACGGCGTGGAGCGGCCGCAAGGACCTCTGGGTCTTGGTCACAATCTCGCCCAAGTTCCTTGCAGCCATGATTTGCCTCCCACTTCTCGACAGAGGCAGGTCCTGAAGGGCTCATTGACCCTGGGCACTTGGCTCTGGTGACCGCAAGGCAGCCGATCTCTTTCCTGACTCAGAGTATTTAAAATCATTGAAGGCTAGGCAATCTGGAAGAATCCACGATTGATTTGTGAACATTAAGAGGCAGTAAGTGCTGTTCTGATATTGAATTGTCCACGGAAGATGCATTCAGTTCAACACGCCAACCAACAGTCCCGCTTCTGCGGGTTGCCCTAGAGATTTGGGGTCTGATAGAGGATGGCTAAGGTCAGAGATGTTTTCTTGTCTCCAGGGCTGACCACAGGAAGACTTTCACATCTTGCTTTGCTGGCTTCCCCCTGGTTCTGGCAAGGAAGATTCTAGAACCGGCAGGTAGCTTCTGAGGAAACGTCAGGAGCCTAGCAAAGATCTCAACCCAACCTCACCTTCCTCATGACCCTTGGTTTCAGGGTCACAGTCACATCTGTTCCCCACTCAGCAAGCAGGGGGAGTCCTCCTTTAGTCAAGGGTCTGTGCTGGGCACAGGACAGCCAGGCCAGGTCTCCTCCCAGCTGTGATTTCCTGGTTAGACAAAAACACTGACTTCATCCACAGGAGTCTAAGTACAACTCCTGGTGCGGCGGGAGCAGAGGACGAGCAGGGACCAGAGCGAGAGGCCCAGACGTGGACGTGCTTATCATCTGGGCGGCTGTGTGGCAGGGCGACGGAGGGTCCAGGTGTTGGATGCCACCACCAGCTTGGGAAAGACACCCCGGAGGGCCAAGGGCTCCAGGGGCAGGGTCGGAGGGACCCGCCGTTTGGCAGGCAGCACTCCCGCAGCTGAAGAGCCCAGCAGTAGGGTGGGCAGGTCGACCCTTCCCCCCATGGCCACCTGCTATGTCCAGCCCAGGATGATGTGCCTGGAAGCTGAGCTGGGAGGAAGCCGGCAGATGTGCTGCCATGAGAGTCTTGTTTGCATGGTGATTATTTATTCACTTGCTCAATACATGCTGAGTGCTGTGTTAGCTTTTCTTTGCTATGACAAAGTGCATGAGGCAACCCACTGCTGAACCCCTCTGCTCAACTCAGTTCTGACGGTTCATGTCCGTGACAGGGTGAGCCTGTTGATTTGGCCTCCAGTGAGAACGGAAAGCAGAGAGGGTGGGAGCACGTGTTAGGGTTCATGTACATGGCGAGCCAGGAAACAGAGAGTAGACTGGCCCAAGCTCAGCAGACCTGCCTTCCAAGGCCGGCCCCGCAGGACCTAAGGACTCCCAGTGGGCTCCACTTCCGGTAGTGCAACCCTTTGGGATGCACTTGGCCCGTAACCACGGCAAACGTACCACACCAGGTATAGCAAGTCTGATCTCCCTGTGCCAGGAAGGGCTCTCTCTCTTGATGACCGTGTTTGTCTATTTCCATTCCAGATGCCTTAGAGCCACGTGAGCTGAACGGGGACACGCCCTGGTGTGCTGGTGGGCTCCATTGACACGGCCACCAAGTCTTCCTCCTCATCGGCCCACCACCCTTGAGCTATGGAGGCTGCGGAGGTCCCTGTGGGCTCCCTCATTGACTTTGGGACTGACACCCCCACCTCCTGTCCGCTGGAGGCACCCCCTTCAGCACCGCAGGACCGGGATGGGGATGGCTCCCTGGATGACGGCGCGTCCGAGAGCGAGACCACTGAGTCAGCAGACAGTGAGAACGACATGGGCGAGTCCCCTTCCCACCCGTCCTGGGACCACAACCGCCGCTCCTCCTCCAATGAGTCCTTCTCCTCCGGCCAGAGCACTGAGTCGGCACAGGACGAGGAGACTGTGGCACTCCGAGAGTTCATGCGCAGCTATGTAGAGAAGATCTTTTCTGGAAGGTAGGTGGCTACACGCAAGAGACAGGCACGGCCGTGCCCACTGCCCACCCCCCTACACACACACTCTGCTCTGCTCCTCACAGGCTTGTCCGGGGGGATAGGGCTTCTGTGTCCTCTTGTGTCAGCGAAGGGCCACCACAGAGCTGTCCCCTGCAAGGTTGTGCAGAGCCCAGCCTCAGTTTCCTCAGGCTGGGAAAGGGAAGGTTAAGTGAAAATCCGAGTATCTGACTCAGAAATGCATCACTACCTGACTTGGAGCACACGTGGCTGCCTGCTCAGGTTGTTCAACTATCACCAGAATCGCTTGCTTTCTCTCAAAACACGCTTTAGCCAAAACAGCATCTTTAGCCAAAAGAAGAGGGGAGAGAGCCAGAAGTTGGCTGATCCGCTAGGAGGGCCTGTCTGTATTTGCAGCAGGCTGTCAGCAATGTGGAGCGTGGACAGCTGAGTCCGATGCATCTGTAAGAGCATTCCAGAAATGCTGCAGATGGCTGGCAGAGTCCCCTACCTCATCTGGTGTTAGTATTGGGGGATAAACGAGACTAAGATGTTTCCTATAAAAATTTTAAATAAATGAACATCGTCTAAGCCTTCTGCTTCACTCTTGTCTTTACGTTTTGGAGGGAGCATTGGTCCCTTGCAGTAGAAGTCAGGAGGGATTCAGGCTCACGCCAGCTCTCTATCCACTCTGGAGGTGGTGGCCTGCAGCCGAGGCTCTCCAAGTCTCCGCCTCTCACATGCGCAGCAGCTCGCAGTGATGGGGGCTGGTTCACACCCGGGTGCGCACAGTGGCACCACTTCAGCTCCCGCACCTCAGACCTGTGGCTTTTCTTGGTGAGGCATGGTGCTCTTGGGCATCTTGGACTCCACAGGGGATTCCTGCTGTGCCATTATCCAGACGAGCAGGATAAGGTGGAGAAGCATGGACTTTAGGGTTCCTGTCCTTGTTGGGGCTCTGGTCTTATTGGCGATAAGCAAGAGGACAGAGGTTGGACAGGAAGCCTGGGTGGGACTTGCATTTGTCACTCAAGCCCTCTCTGGTTGTCTGAAGGGACTCATATTCTTACTCTCATTTTGGATAGGATGAGGGGGTTGAGATGGGGGAAGGAGAGAGAGATTGATCTGTAACTGCCGGGGCTGCTCAGGCTGAAACTTATAGCCGGCAACTCCATCCCAGCCTCCCATGTGGGTGGCAGAAGCACAAGCTCTCGGGCCATCACCTGCTGCCCCACAGCTTCCCCCCGTGTCAGAAGCAGAGCCTGGGTCTCAGAATCGGGCACTCAGGTATGAGTCGCTAGTGCCCCTCTTGGCAGCTTAAATGCCACCCTGATGCCCACTTGCAGGCCCCCATCTTTGACAGGATAATCATACTTCCTTCTGGGGTTGTACAGTGCCCACCTGACCCAACGCTGTGTGCCCAGGGCTCGGCTCACCCACCTCAGTGTCCATGTGGCCAGGTGCCGCATCCTTAGCGCCTTCTCTCTGCTCTGTCCCCCACTGCCACCTTTTGTACTCCAGACAGTTCAGAGATCTTTGGCTCATTTTTCTCCTTTCGTCTTGGTTTCAGGGAGGACTTGGAGCAGGAGGAGAAAGCCCAGTTTGGAGAGTACTGCAGTGGTGACAGCGGCCAAGGGCGTGAGTGGTTTGCCCGCTACGTGAGTGCCCAGGTGAGGGCAGGCAGCCGGGGGGGGGGGGAGAGAGACTCCTACATCCTGCTATGTCCTCACTGGAGAAGGGAGGAGAGGGAGCTGGCCCCCTGAAGATGTTGTGAAGGGGAGCATGGGGTTCACCAGAGGCAGCGTGTGAGCCGTGTCTGTATGTTACTCTGGAGCAGCACACGCTGGGCGGGCTGGAAGAGGTGCTCAGTGTTGAAGGACTCAGGTGACTGCCAAGGCCAGGGATGTCACCAGCTAAGAGGTTCTTCATATTTCTGAAGAGTGGCTCACATTTTATTGTGAGTAATTTTATCTTCGTAGGAGAATTAGACGAGTCAGATAAAGCTGATTGGCTTTGTGTCCTCAGCACAGAGGGAGCCAGCCTTGTCCTTGTGGGATGTCCTTGCTCCGTGCTTTTCCGTGTGTGAGTGAGAGTGAGCATCCTGCCCTGAGGGCGGGCACAAGGGGCACATACCTGCACCCAGTCAGGCAGAGATGGCGCCCTCTGCTGGGGGCAGGGGGCAGGCAGCGTGCTGGGGCTCATCCCACATGCCAGGAAACCCCTGCAGCAGGAAGCTGCCCTAGGTCTCCCGCCGCTCACAGTGTGTCTGCTTCTTTCTGCACAGCGCTGCAATTCCAAGTGTGTCTCGGAGGCCACCTTCTACCGCCTCGTGCAGTCTTTTGCCGTGGTGCTGTTTGAGTAAGTCCTGTGGCCGCTCACAGCCAATGTCCCACCTATGCTTTCTCACCCCGGGGTTACCATGCGGTGAGAAACGCCCTCTTTGGTAGTCAGCACTCTCACCCAGCATCAACCCAAGAAGTCATGCCCAGCGTCTGTTGCAGCACTTGGCTTCTTGTTAGAGCTCCACAGCTGGCTGTGAGTCAAGCCCCTGGGGCCGCGGCCTGTGCCCCTGCGTGCAGCTCTCCAGATTCCATATTGAAGGTTTTCAAACCAGACAGGCGCCCAGCCCGTGAGTGGGCCCTCCTACAGGGTGCTGTACCCCTGGAAGCCTGCAGCCTGCCTGGAAGCAGCAGCTAGGCACTGCCGGAGCCGCCTCACACAAGGCAGTGTGGACAGCAGAGGCAGTGCAGAGCAGGCTGTGGGTTACGGGGGCACAGCCTGCTCCTTCCTGTGAACCCCTGAGATGGCCAGACCCCATCACACCTGTGGATCAGTGGCCAGCACAGGTGGCAGACCCCCTGGAGTGAGAGGATGGGCCCTTCTCCACTCCAGGGACGCCAAGCATGCAGCATTGACTTGAATGAGCGGGAGCCTTGCCAATAGCCCTGGCGAGGAGGGGTCTGGGTGGAAGTAGAACATGTCTGTCTGCACTTCTTCTAGGCCACGACAACTGCTGGTCCTTGCGCCATGGCCTCTGCCTCTCAGGCAGCTGGGACTCGAACCCAGGCACCTGCATGTAGGGTGTGGGCAACCCAAGGGGTGCCTTGCCAGCTGCACCAGACATCCACTGCTCCACAAGCTCTCTGAAGGGTCCAGGGCGCTAGGAGGGCCCTGGGTTTGGCCCGAGACTTGAGGCCTCACTTCCAGTCCCGGGTGCTGAGTGTGGGGGGAGGCCTCCTGGGCTGTGGGTGCGTGGCCTGGCCTCTTCCCAGGCCGTGGAGCTGTGGGGAACTCACCTGGGCACACTGAGTGGGTCATCGTGGAGCTCTTCATGCAGTGGCACCGTGGCACTGAGCCAATCCATGGCAAGCCTGCAGAGTGTGCTGGCCTTGCTTAGCTGGCGGGCAGTGAGGTCGGGGGCACAGCACCTTCGCTGATCAGCCTTGTTCCTTGCTTCAGGTGCCATCAGATGGATGACTTCGGGCCTGCCAAGAACCTCATGACGATGTGTTTCACTTACTACCACATTGGTGAGCCCCTGGAACGTGACTCGGAGGAGCTGAGGCTGGGGAACAGGGCGCTGGTCCACAGACGGCGCGTGTCCTCGTGGCTACAGGCGAGAGTTCTGGAGAGCACAAGAAGCTGGTGTCAGGGAGGAGTGAGCAAGTAGGGAGGCTCCTGAGCAGGGCTGAGGCTGCCTGAGGAGTCCAGGATCCGAGGCCAGACACGGCTCCCAGGTGCGAGCTGCAGGCATCCTTGCAAATGCTTGTGGAAAGTCCAGATGTTTCTTAATGCAGAGGCTGCAATGCCTCTCTGGAGCTCATGGGCTCCGTGGGAAGCCCCTTGGGTACAATAGCAGATGGTTAGTGGAGGTTAGTGGAGCGCTTTCTGTGGGTGGGGCTGGGCCTCCTTTGCCTCATGCACGGGCTTGCTCTCCCACAGTCCCTTCCCCTGCAACCCGGCTTCATCCTCTCCTACACCCAACAGCCCCACCCCTCCATACCCCTCAGGTTCCTCTGTGCCCCTCCATGCCTCTCCATTCCTTCTGTGCCCCTCCAGGCCCCTATGTGCCCCTCTGTGCCCCTCCACGCCCCTATGTGCCCCTCTGTGCCCCTCCAGGCCCCTATGTGCCCCTCTGTGCCCCTCCAGGCCCCTATGTGCCCCTCTGTGCCCCTCCACGCCCCTATGTGCCCCTCTGTGCCCCTCCAGGCCCCTATGTGCCCCTCTGTGCCCCTCCAGGCCCCTATGTGCCCCTCTGTGTCCCGCCAGGCCCCTCTGTGCCCCTCCAGGTCCCTTCAGGCCTCTCTGTGCCCCTTCAGGCCTCTCTGTGTCCCTCCTGACTCTCCCTTGCTTCGCTGTGCTCCCCTCCCCCATTCCAGGACAGCAGCTTCTCTGCTGCCTTAGCTCAAAGCAGGCCACCCCCAAGTGGGCCCTTCATACTGGGCTATGCTAGCTGTCTTGACTGCCTTCAAGTCAGGTGGGAGCCTCTCAGATATTCAGGGGTACTGGGTGGCGGGGGTGTTGGGGGGCAGTTGTGCATAGTGTCCTGGGACCTGGAGCTTCTCTCTTGCTTCGACTCACAGGTCTTACCCCATCAGCTGTCCTGTATGTGTCCCCCTACCCTCCACCTGCCAGCCTGAGTGCCATGGGCCATGTTGAGTCTATGCTGTCTGTCCTCTCCTTGCCCTTGGCCCACATGGCTGCAGCTATGGCCTGACGGACACCCCACTTGCTAGGGCCAGACCCCTGCTGCTTTCTCTTTCCTGTTTCCCAATGCCTGGCTGAATCCTTCAGACACTGCCAGAGAAGGGCCAAACCCTCTGCCTTGTCCTAGGCTGTGTCCCCTCTGCTGCACGGTAGATGCTGGGGGCCCTGCCTCCCCATCACTGACCTGTGGCCCCACAGGACCCTTCCTGGCTCCTGCTGCGTGTGCCCAGCCAGCCCGGCCCTCTGTGTGTGCCTGTCCAGTCCGGCTCCTGCTCCGCTCATCTACTTCCTCCCTGTCTGCCAAGGTAAACCGCAGCTGCTCCCCTCCGAGTCCAAGGAGAAGCCTGTGGGGAGCATCGACGCCTACTTGAAGTCCGCCAACAGCTGGCTGGCTGAGAAGAGGGACATCGCTGCACGGCTGCTGAAGGACACCCCTGCCAGCACCGAGAACGCCAAGGGCTTCTTTGGGGGGCTGGAGACCAAGCTGAGGGGACCCCTGATCAAGAGAAATGAGTGAGTATGGCCTCAAAGGCATCTCTGGTTTGTTGGGTGGGGGCGGGGCAGTAGGAAGGAAGGGCCTGGACTGAGCAGGGCGTATCAGGGAGTGCGCCGCATCTGAGGATCTGCCCAGCTTCTCCCTTCTGGGGCCCCGAGAGCCGCTGGGCGTGCACATGGCTGCTGGCCAGCTCAGCCGCCTCCCCCAGGATCCTGTGTTATTCACAGCCCTGCAGAGGGAGGGCCTGGCCAGGGGAGGGAGTCTGTGCTCTCTGGACTGAGGAAGAACATATGGAAATTGTTCAGTTGATGGGAGAGAGACGGCACCCCTGCCACCACAGTCTCCTCCTCCGGCTTGTCGCTGTCATTCTCCTCCTCCTCCAGCCATGGTGAGAATTGGCGCTAATGGAACACAGGAAAGACAGCACCGTCTCCTAGGAGAGCAGCTGGTGAATGGCAGCTTGAGGACTCCCTGGGGACAGGCATGCGAGGCCCTGGAGTGCACAAGGCAGGGGGCACCTCAGTGGGAGGGACCCCCCTCACTCACACCACATGACTCAGCCTAGCTCCTCCTCGCGTCCCTACAGCGCTGCCTTCAGAGCAGGCTCAGCCGGCTCCTCCTCGCCGCAGCAGGCGGGCAGCTGACACACACAGCCCCAACCATGCAGTTCTCTCTGGAGGAAACCGTGTACACATACGCAGGCACACCTCAGAACTGAGCGGCGCCATCCTTGACTGGATGGCGTGGGCGGAGTTGTCACACTGTGGTTTCTCTCCCTCCAGGGACGACGAGAACAAGCCCAAACAGAAGCTGCCCAAGACTGGTGAGTAGCCAACTTGCTCGTGCCGCCCCTGCAGTGCCTCGCCACCCCCAGGCCCAGCTGAGCCAGGCCCACCATGGGCTAGCAGCACAGGCAAGCTGGCCTAAGCGGTCCAGGGCCTTGCAGCCCTCGTCCTAGATGACTCCCAAGCTGGTCCCTGTTCTCTACCGGACTCCCTCAGGAGAGCTGCTTTTCTAGTCCCCAGAAAATTAGTGACCTGTTCCTGGAGGGGACAGTCACCCCTGGGAGCCTCTTCAGTCGGAGGAGGTGCTGGCCCCAGGCATGAGGAACTCATCCTTGGCAGTGGCTGCTGAGTTTCAACCGCCTGTCTTGCTGACCTTGGAGAAGTGGTGTCTGTTGGGAGGAGTGGCAGGGGGTTTGCTGACATGTGGGAGCACAGCCAGGGCCACGCTCAGCACCTTGCTGTGCTCCTGCAGTGACGGTGTGCAGCCCCGAGGACGAGCGCAAAGGGGAGAAGATCTACCTGTACACGCACCTGAAGCAACAGCCCATCTGGTGAGTCCCACCCACACCGCTAGCCGCTCTCGGACCTGGGGACGGTTGCCTCCCCAGGACCGCTCCCAGCAGCTCCTGTCTCCATCACGCATGGTGGCCACTGGTGCTCTGAGAAGGTCCAGCTCAGAGATGTGTGTGCTAACAGGTGTTGGCAGGCATGTGGGGAAATCAGTGCTGTGCTACACTGCTGGTGGGAACATTAAGACAGGGCTGTCTGACTGTGAGACAGCTGTCACGCCCAGAGGGAGCAGGGAGCCCACAGGTCCACACGTGTGCACCCCAGAGAGAAGAAGATGCGTCCACAGGAAAGCCCAGTGGCGTGGCTCCTGGCGGCCAGAAGGCAGACAGTACGGGGTATGTCTGTGGACAACAGACAGAAAGGGGTCTGTGCATGCCACACAGCGTTGCTCGGCCGTGTTGAGCTGCTGGCCCCCCTCAACAGAATGGTACAGAATGGTACTCTGCGGTTTCAGCTGTGGCGTGTCCAGCACAGGTGAACCCCCAGTGCCAACAGTGGCAGTGTGAATGCCAGGGGCGTCTGGAATTGGAGAGTCAGGTAGTTGGAATGTTCTGGAACTAGATGGTGCCATAGGTCATGGCATAATTCTGAATCCAGCACAGACCCCAGATGGAGCTCACATACCTACACATTCAGGCACGCATCCACCTGTGAATGAAGGCCAGGATGAAGTGGGCGGACAGAGGTCAGGAGGAGCCTTACCCCTCCCCTGTCCGCTGTGAACAGTTGTCTGTGTCATTGTGGCCGAAGGTTCTCGTCACCATCACGAGGGAGATGCTGCCCTGGCGCACGGACCCACAGGAGCCAGACTGCCTCTGCAATCACAGGCCAGCAGTGATCAGAACTGCCTGTGACAAGTGTGGCCTGGCTTTGGTGGAGTTCTAAGGCTGAACTTCTGGGAGACGTGGGGCTGGCCTGAGTGGCCAGCTCCCATGGCAGCAGCAGGAGGACGGGTTGACCCATCCCTGTGGCACTTGTGCAGGGGGTTGGCTGTCCCCCCCGACCCCTGACTTGCCTTACCTCCTGGGAGGAGATGTGGCCAGCGTTTTCTGTCAGGGCAAATGGAGTAGGGCAGCCTGGGCCCCTCAGTCAGCACAGTGCTTCAGCGCTGTGGTTAGATGCGCTGAGGATGACTGTGTACCGTCAAGCTTTGATTGCAGGAACAGGCAGCAGCTGGCTTTGGGCCACACGCCTGATCTCTCAGAAGCACTTTCCCTGCTCTCCTTGACCCGTGGACGTGTGTGACACCCTGGGGTGCCGAGACCCTGGAGAAGCGGGTCCTCTGGCCCTCTGCTTCCTTGCGGCAGCCCCAGCGGGAAGCAGAGATATGGGCAGCACCCCGCTGGGGCTGCGCGCCCAGCACGCACTGGCTGCACTCCGCCCTGTGTATACTGCAGTGCCAGGCTTCCTGACTCCTTGTCCCACCTCCCTAGACAGCTGTACTGCCTGGGGACTCTTGGGAAACCTCTGTTTAGGCTCAGGTCACAATCCTTCCCCTCCGAGACTTCTCAGAGGCCCGAGCGGCCGGCAGCGACTCCAGGACCCATCTGTCTGTCTCACCCCCGCCTTCTCCCAGTCTCACGCACATCTCTGCCCTGCAGGCACACGCTGAGGTTCTGGAATGCAGCCTTCTTCGACGCTGTGCACTGCGAGAGGAGAAAGCGGTCCCCCACCACCAGGTAGGCGCCATGAGTGGCCCCGACTGGCTCAGGAAGTGTCCAGAGTGGACAGCAACAGGATGGCCATGTCCATGTGCTTCTGTTCCCTGGCCCTGACACCCTGCAAGCTGCCTGAAGCCCCGGACACGCACAGCTTTGTGGGTGGGGGTGCTCTGCTTGCATGGACGCTGTCTGTCCTAGGGCTCTGGCATGACTCAGAAGGCAACTCCCACCAAATGAGACCAGCCGGACCACCCACCCGCAGCCCTGCTCGTTGCTGGGGGAAGTCGGAACGAGAAGGGTCCTGGGGTGTAGGCCTGGCTGCCCACTGCCTGCCCCAGAGCTGACACCTCTAGAAATGCAGCCTCTCCCCTCCTCTTGCTGTGGGCACTGGTTTTGAAGAATCTTTCTGAGACTCTGCATGGCAGCTGCAAGAGTTGGCACGGGGCACTGGTGCCCAGCTCTCTGTGTGCAGCCTTCCTGTCCAGCCAGGATAGGTCACTGCCCGTTGCATGCAGTGACTGGGCAGCGAAGGGGCGACAGAAGCACCCCACCCATACTGGACCCCTTCTTGGCCTTAGGGTCTCGCGGTTCTGAAGTCCCTAAGTGTCTTGGAGCCTTGGTCTCTGTGTTAGTGGGGGGAAAAAAAAATTCCCACGTCCGCTAACGCTGGGCAGACCTCAGCCTCACTGCGCGGCTGCTGGGGGGACCACTCTGCTAGTGCTCGGTGCGCCCTAAGACACTCAGTCCCGGGGGCAGCTGGAGCCTCCCAGGGCCCTAGGAGCCCGCCTTGTGGGGAGCCTCCCGGTGGCCGAGAGCCCGCCTGTCCCACACAGGCTGTGCTGAGACTCCCGCAGGGGTCCTGAGTGACACTGGGGCTTGGATGCTTCCAGACAAGTGGGCCTGAGCTCGGGTTTAGCTCTCACAGTCCTAGGAGAGGAGTCGACCTGGAACCCTCTCTCTGTCCTCTCCATTGCTGCCTGCGATGAGCGCCCTCTCTGCGTGCCCTCTTTGCCCGTGACGTGACATGTTCCTTTGTTTACCTGTTTCTGCTGCCGCTGCAGAGGGGATGCTGGAGAGGAGGAGGAGAAGAGGTGTGTGTCCCCGGGACTGTCCCCTTCTACAGCGCTGGGGGAGGGCGGCCCGGGCAGGGTGGAGGGAGCTGCGGGGTCTGCTGGCCTCTCCCAGCCAGCTGTGCCAGCCCCTCCCGCGCTGAGCTGGGACTCACCCTCAGCACCCCCTCCCCCACGGGTGAAATGCTGCACAGTTAGACCCCTCTGAGGGCGGGGCGTGGAGAGGCTGTGTGGCATGCTACATGGCGCCCTCGGAGGGGAGCGGTGGGGCTGGCAGTGTGGGGACAGTGGGGGGACAGGACAGCTGATCCATTTCCACAAGCTGCGAGGGTGTGGTGGGGTCCCCAGGAGAACAGCCAGGCCAGGAGGGCACGTGGCTGCTCCCTGCACCCACGGGGTCTGACCGTGGCAGCGTGAGCCGTGTCCTTTTGAGAACACTGTGAGGTATTTTCAGAGAGGCCGCCAGGCCTGCCTCGCTATCCAGTTGCAGAGGGGGCCTTGGTGCTTCCTCGGGGTGCTGTTCTTGTGGGGATCTGCTTCTACTGCAGCCTGGGCCTTTATATATATTTTGTTTTTATTGGAAAGTCAGATACACAGAGGAGAGACAGAGAGGAAGATCTTCTGTCTGCTGATTCACTCCCCAAGCTGTTGCAATGGCCAGAGCTGTGCCGATCCAAAGCCAGGAGCCTCTTCCAGGTCTCACACATGTGTGCAGGGTCCTAAGGCTTTGGGCCATCCTCGACTGCTTTGTCAGGAAACTGGATGGGAAGTGGGGCTGCCAGAATTAGAATCAGTGCCTATATGGAACCCTGGCTCATAGAAGGTGAGGACTTGAACTGCTAGGCTACTGCATCGGGCCCAGCCTGGTTCTTTTTAAAGGAGCTTTTCTGCAAAGTTCCCTGCAGTCACCAGGGCGACAAGGTGTCTGTGTCCTCACACAGGACTGGGAGCTCCTCAGTGGCAGGGCTGCTAGTGCGGGGAGCCCTGTCCCGTCTGGAGCTAGCTCAGACGACAGTGGCCTCTGGACCTACCAGGGACAGTGGAGCCATGTCTCAACGTGCCGTGTGCCATTACCAGTTAGAGGGCCTGGCGCTGCTTCCTCACAGCGGTGTCAGCGCCGTCCGCAGGCCACCTCATGCCTAGGCCTGCCTGCTCTCCTTCCGTGACCTCTGCTGACCGCACGTTGCCGTTCTCAGTGGCTGATGGTCTCCCTGTCAGCCAGGGCTGTCACGCCTGCTGCTGGCCCTCCAGGGGAACTAAGGCCTGAACCCAGTTCTACGGAGATACCCTGCCTGAGGCAGGCTGCAGGGAGAGAGGAGCCTGCCCATCCAGACAGGGGGAGCAGAGGTTGGGGCCAATGAGCTACAGGACTGCAGGGAGCTGTCCCCATGGGGTGGGTGGCAGGTGCCCCAGCTTTGTGCTCTGCACACCAGGCTTGGCGCCAGTGAGGGGACTGACGGGTGTGCCTGCCACGCCTTCAGGGTCCCAGAGGAAAAAGGAAGGAAGGACAACAGGACGGGACTTGGCCATGTCCCTGGATGTGCGTTCTGGGGGTCTCTGTGGGCCCAGGGGGTGGGGAGGAGTTAAGAGTTCCTACCCTCTCATTCCATTGGTCTTCCTTTAGCATCTCCGTTCCCCCAGCCCTCGCCCCTTCATGCGGTCTCCTTCCCCTTCTCTTGCATCTTCCTCGCAGCTTTGTTCTAGTCAGGGTCCTTCATCCAGAGTTTTCTTTCCAGCGGGCAATGGGCTGCCATGACCTCGTCCTCCATGTCGGCATTCATCCACAGGTGGCTTCCCAGATAGACACACATATGCCTGGGCCTGTCAGCCCCCAGCGGGGGACGGAGCTTGGTACAGGGTACCCGCAGTGAGGGACGGAGCAGGGCTTTAACTGGGGCCGGCCCTGGCTGCCCTGCGTCAGCTGAGCCGCAGCACCCCTCTCAGTGGGGGCTTCCCCACACTGTACAGGGGAGCTCTGGCTCTCTCCAGGCCAGCCGGGCCTGCCTCGGGCTTCCCAGCCAGACCTTGATGCCATCTTCACGAGGGTCCCTCAGCCACAGGCTCCCAGTTCAGAGGCTCGGGGAGGAATGTGTCGCCTGCCCAGGACAATGGAGAAGGAAGCTGAGGGAGAACAGCAACACAACGCACTGGGTGACCCTCTGGGAGGTCGCAGCAAGGGTCAGGTGGCCATTTGTGTCCCTTGAACCTGCAGCCAGCACCAGGACTTGATGCTTTAGTGGCTGCTGGCCCGTGTGTCTCTTTATCCCCACTTCCCTAGGACACTGGGGAGACCCCCTTTCCTTCCGGAGGCTTCCCCACTGTGCGAGGATGGGGTACCTGAAACCCCATGTTTAACCTGCAGGAGGGACATGGGCTGGCCTTGCTGACAGAGCTTTCTAGGCAGCCACGCTGGCCCTGTCTTCCCAGGGCAGTGAGGGACACAGAGTGTTGGGCCTCTGGACTTGAGCTCTTCTCTGTCTGGGACCCTTCAGGCAGAACCAGCAGCACCTTCCCAGCAGAGCCCAGCAGAGCGCAGCAGGCCCAGTGGGGGGCTCTGCCCTGGGCCGGAGCGCCTGGTGGGGGGCTCTGCCCTGGGCCGGAGCGCCTGGTGGGGGGCTCTGCCTTGGGCCAGAGCGCCTGGTGGGGGGCTCTGCCTTGGGCCGGAGCGCCTGGCGGGGGGGCTCTGCCCTGGGCTGGAGCGCCTGGCGGCAGCTGCACCTGCAGAACAAAGCAGGAAGCGAGTGGTGGGGGAGGCCTGCGCTGAGGCTGAGCCATTGCTGTCCCCTCCTATGCCGCAGGGAGAAGTGGTGCCACATGACCCAGGAGGAGCGCGATGACAGCCTCCGCTTCAATGAGAACATCACCTTTGGGCAGCTGGGGTAAGCGTCAGGGTGCCCGGGGGAGGGCCCTGGGACCCTGCGCTACCACGTGGGGACAGCAGGACAGCTGTGTCCTCAACGCACAGCCTAATCACGCTTGGCCTGGATGCCTCCTGACAGCCTCCCCACTCCCGGGAGGGGTGAGCGCTGTTCCCCGAAAGCTGTGGGCGGGCTCCCCGCACTACACTTGTGGCTGGGCCTCCTGCGTGGTCCCCCTCCCCAGGGAACGGTGACATCCGGCTGTCTTTCTCCAGCACGTTTACTCACAACATGTTGGCCTTTGGCTTGAATAAGAAGCTGTGCAATGACTTTCTGAAGAAGCAGGCTGTGATTGGCAACCTGGACGAAGGTGAGACTGTGGCTGCTAGGTTGGGGCACCAGGGCAGTGCTGGTGGGGGACAGGTCAGGGGCAGGTGGAGTCCAAACGCTGGCATGCTGGGGCTCCGCCCCCTCACACCTCCTCCACCTGCCAAAAAATGGAGGTTTCTTTTTTTCAACCTGTTGGGTTGCCTCACCTCCTGTTCCCTATGGGAATGAGTGAAGGCTGACTCCTTCCCTGTGGAACTCTGTGCCTGGCCACGGCTTGCTGGAGGGCGGGCAGCCTGCCACAGGCCCGCACTCATGCGGAAAGCCTGTCAGTGCCCACACTGCAGGTGGGCCAGAGCTGACTCCTGCAGCAGCAGCTGTGGGAGGGCAGGAGGGATGTCAGGTGTTTAGGGGTCTTCTGTTGGAGCCAGCTGTTCTGTGCCATCTGGTATGCTACAGCATAAAGAGCCTGGTACCCAGACACGTGCAGGGCACTTCAGGAATGCTGTGGAAATGTAGAGTTACGAGATAAGTCTATCTTGGTACAAAAAAACTTTAAAAATCCATGTACAAGTTTTTCATAACATGTGCTTTCCACCAACTTGTTGAAGACTCCGTCTGTTTGGACAGACCAGTGTTGGGGGAAGGGGTTAGGGGTCCTTGCTGTAGCAAAGGGGGTCACAGCAACATTGCCCTCGGAGGAAAGAGAGTGTTGCCAGCTCTGGACTGTCGCCTTGTCACCACAACCCCATCTCAGCAGCGGAGGGCAAGGCAGGGCCCTGTCCCCTGCCCAGCACATGGCCATGTAGGCAGTCCCCTGGGACACACGGTGCCTTCTGTGTACTTCCGGAAGGGCTAGGTGGCTGCCCTTCGTGACACTGCTTCTATAACTCTGCGCGTGTCACCGCTCGCTGTGTGCAGGACTGAAGCTGTGCTGCTCAGTCCCTGTGGCCCAGCCCTGCCCCGGACACGGCAGATGTGGCGCTTAGAAGGCTACCCGCTCTGCCTGGGGAGCGGAAGCCGCCTGTTCCTGCCGGCTGTCTCGCCCAGCAATGACGCAGCTTTCTCTTGCAGAGCAATACAAGCTGCTTAGTGACCACATTGAGCAGATGGCCACTGAATAGAGGACGGAGGGCACACCCTGCTTTCCTGGGCCAGCGACTGGCCGTCTCCCTCAATGACCCTGCATGACACCAGCAGTGCCCACAGCCACTCCTCGCTGCCCTCAAACTCTCAGAAGAATCCAGCGCCTGTGCTCCCATTGGCCTGCACCCGCTCCCCCATCCCCATGCCAGAGTGTCCCTCGGATCATGCAGTAAGAGCTGAGGTGCCCGTCTGCACCCCTGTGCCAGTCTTGGGAGATGAGACTGAGGGGGAGGAGGAGGGAAAGGAGGAGGCCTTTGGGTGAGGCGGCACGGGGCGCTGTTGGCCTAGGTCCCATCTGAGGAGCACAGGGGTGAGGTGGAACTGTGTGCATGCAGAGGCGACCACCTGCAGTGGGGCACAGAGCAGGCTTGCGCTGGCCTGCCCAGGACTGCAGCTGGGTGATGTGCCCTTCAATGGGAACAGACACTGGTGCAGAGGACACTGCCTCTGTCCTAGCAAGGCCTACCCCCGCCACAGGGTTAGGAGGATCCAGCCGGCATCCCCGGCCACCAGGCTCTCGCTGGGCGTCCTTCAGGGCCATCCGTCAGCTGGAAGCCTGCTCTGAGGCTGAGTCACTGCAGCAGTGTTCTGCTTTGAGTCCCAGGCACGGAGCGCAGAGGACAGAGGCTTCTTCAGGAACTATGAGAACGCCATCCTTCCTAAATCAGACATCGTCGCTGCTCATGCCAGAGGAGGCAGGGCGGAGGCGAGGGGACGGGCTGCGGCTGCTCAGGCCAGCTAGCACTGTGGACTTGGCAACACCTCCAGGCCCTGGGCACAGGGCCCTTCACATCCCTGTGCAGCCCAGGCCTTCGTGTTTCTCTCTTACCCTGCAGATGCTCCCTTCATGTTGTCTCTGGTGCCAGAAACCACGCACTGCTCTGTGCGCCGTGCCAGGCACAGCGGGCCGACCGTAACCCCGAGCTCCCCGCCGCAGCAGCCAGCATGCTGGCCCCGGAGCCTGTGGTTTCACCCTGCAAATGTTGCTGATTAGCCCTGGCTCGCTCTGCCTCCTGCCATAGCAGTCTGCTCACTGACCCTGACACGGGCCCCTGGGCTCTCCTCCCCACCCGCCAGGCATCTCCCACACTCCGCCGTCTTCCCTCACGGCCTCCTCCAGCATTCAATCAAATTAAATTACTGTCTCATTTGTGAGCGCAACCTCGTCACTTTTCCATCAGTGCCTGCAAGGTTGTCCTTGGGGAGTGCCTTCCTGGAATGTTCCAGAGAACAGGGATTGGCTGAACCACACACATGGTGACTTGGGGCCAAGGGAGGTGATAAAACAGAGGCAAGTTGAAGCATAACAATCTCTGGAAGCACTCTGGCCAACCGGAAGGACAAGGGCCAGGGCTTAGAGGCCGTGGTGTGTGTGTGTGTGTGTACACTCACACACGTGTGTGCTGGATTTCCACCCCCAGCACATCCCATGGACAGCACCACTGCGTTGTCAGTTTGCTTACTATGTGCCAGGGCAGGTAATATAAGTGGGGCACTCCCCATCGCAGGCCCCTTAGTAGTGCGTGTCTCTGTTGAGCATATTGAGAGAACAGGAAATGAGGCACGGCCCCTCCTTGCTCTAGTGAAACAGCGCACCCCAAAACCTGCCTGTGGGGCCTCCATATGCTGCGCTCCTGGAGCTGTGCAGCTCTGCCATTGGAAAGAGAAAGAACAAGAGAAGGGCCAGTTTCTGAGCTCCGGTCACCTAGGGGCACTTGGTGGCATAGAAACAGTGCCACCATTCAGAACTGGGGCCCATGCAGGGATGGGTATCACCGCTTGTGTGGGCTGGACCCAGTGGGCCCCAGGGCAGGCACGGCCCCAGGCTGGCTGGAGCAGACAGAAGGCTGCAGCCTGCAGTTGTGCCCCCTGGGTAAAGGCTGTGTGTCAGTTACTGTGGCAGCACCTGCCGCCACAGAGCCACTGGGTTCTGGGGAGCCAGTCCTCTCCCAGCTCAGCTGTGTGGCCCACCATTCCTGGGTGTCATGTGTTCCTCTTCACGATTCATGGCGACGTGGTGGCCTAGAACAGCTGTCAAGCAAGCTCCGTGGTCACCAGGTACTACATAGCTGGAGCACTCCTGGTCCATTCATGAGTAGTGTGGGGCGACAGCAGACAGCCACACGGGGTTGTCCCCCCAGCCCGTCATTGCCCAGCACACCTCGGCCCCCCACGGGCCACTGGGCCTGGTGTCACTGGTTCCTGTGACCAACAGAGGCTCACAGGAACTGATACCTCCAGGGCCCCAGCCTGCCTTGCTCCTGGCCAACCAGAACCACGGCCTGGGCTGGACTGCACTGAAGCTCGTGCCTGTGCCTTGCCGCTGGCCGGCGTGCTGGGTTCCGGACAGGGAGAAGAGGGTAAGCTCAGAGTCGGCCCTGACCCTGGCTTGTTGTGTCTGGGGTCAGGAGGGAACAGGACAGCGTAACATTGGGAGGTCAGGCTGGGTCCGACCCCTCCTGCAGGACAGAGAGAGAGTGTGAACACAGCACAGTCAGGCCTGGAACCCGCTGGGTTTAGAGCACCTGTGAGCTGCATCTGAATCAGAATAGTCTTCTCAACAGAGAACCCTCTTGCTGGAACTGCAACTGGGGCTGTACCCCATCCCTGCTTGTTCCGGTGGGCAAGGATACGTGGACTCCTGGAATGGAACTGTGGGGACTAGGTCCGTGCTGGGGAAGGGATTTGGGTCCCCTGGGAGGCACCTCAAGGAGGATGGCTCACCCTTGTGCTAGGGAAGGCTGAAGGCTGAGGAAGGCGGAGTCAGCAGCACGCATGCCCCACGCTCCCAGAGCAGAGGCATAACTGTGTCAGGGCAGGGTTGGGCCACCGTGTCTCTGACCCAGCCCAGATCTCCACTGTGGTGTTCAGACACAGCCTCTGTGGTAGCCGCCCAGCAGCGTCCGGGGACACCAGCCTGCTATGTGTCCTGCGGGGTGCTGGTTCTAGAAACTGCTGTGAAGGCTGAGAACGCTTCTAGGTCGCAGACCTCAAAGCAGAGCTAAATTCGGAACTGCTTCCTAGGAAGCAAATAAACTTGCCCCACACCTTGGCTTGGCGAAGGCAGAATCCAGGCATAAATTATCTTCTTGGGGAAAAAACTGTGTCACCATCCACCAGGTCTTTGCTTAAAATCTGTGAGGTCTGTCACCTCGGGGGCTTCCTGAAGCCAGGACCTGTGTCTGGAGGAACGCTGGCCCTGGTCATGCCGGCCACGGGGTCCTCTCAGAGGGGAGGCTATGGGACACGCTGGCCTGGGAGGACCACTCCTCAGCTCCACCTGCCCACTGGGGGCCTGGCTTGACCCCAGCCCTGCACTGCACACTCTTTCCGGCCTCGGGCTGCCCAGCTCCGGTGGCACTACGTGACCCACTGACGCTGGGCAGCACGTGGCGGGCTAGCGCAGCCAGGTCTTCGTGCCTGTGATCCAGCCCGGCCCTGGCCAGCCCCTGAGGGTCCCCGGCAGGCCGTGCCCGGTCTACAGGCCCCTTGCTCCATAGGTTCCGTGGGCTCCCAGGGCGCCCTGTCCCCGGGGAAGCGGCAGCTCGCACTCCCGCGAGGGCGCCCGTACATGGTGCCTGGGTCTTTAACAGACAAGGTCCGGGCGGAAGGAGCTCCGGATCCTAATGCGCCGCACGCGACTGAGGCCTTCCGGTTCGGCCAGGAAGTGACGCACGCAGGGAGCGCCGTTCGGGAACGTGGAGGCCGAGACCAGGCCAGGTGTCCGCTCCGCCGAGGACCACCGGGAGCCACCAGAGGCACTCAGGGACCCAGTCTTTGGCTTTCAGGACCCTGCCCGGCGGGATGCTGGCCTAAGGCAGGAATTGAACCGGGTGCAGTCGCACAGCGTTTATTGAAGACTTGAGTCCTTCCCGCCCCCACACCCAACCCCGAGCCACCCGCAAGGTCAGGGCACAGAGCCTGCTGTGTAGGCTAGAGGGACTGGATGAACTCAGAGTGCACAGGCCGAGCCCGCCACCCCTGCCCTCGGGGCTGGAGGCAGGCGGGTCCTAGCTGGGACGCCCCTGACCCCTGAGATCTTCCACAGGGTCCTCGGTGGAGCCGGCCTCGCTGCCCTCCTCCTGCTCTCTCTGCTGGCTCTCTGTGTCCTGAGCGCTCTGCAGGAGGACAGCTGTGGAAGTCACCACCAGGCCCTGGGGCAGCTCCGCCCATCCCTCCTCCTGCTGGCTGGCTGGCCCCAGGCTTGGGTCACGGAGGCCGACCTCATTGGTCTGCAGGGAGCATTACCGAGGGCCACCACCCCAACCCACCCAGACGCGGAGCTGCAGCCACTGCTTTCCTGAGTTCTAGATTCTGCGGTTTGGCTTGCAGGTGGGCCTGTTTCTGATGTGGAAATGCCTGCTTGCCTCTAGGGGGCGCTTGGAACCTGCTGGAGGCCAAGCCCAGGCCAGGCTCCTGGATGGACGGTCTCCTTCCTACCCAAACGCTGTTATCCCCAGGGTTCCTGCCAGCTCCTCCTCTGCTCACCGGTGAGGTCCCAGCTGCTCACCTGACTGGCCAGTGCCCACGGGACGGATGGCCAGGGAGTGGTGCCAGGGAGCTGCCGGGCATCAGAATGCCCATACAATCCATGCATCTTGGTTCTGAAATCCTGCAGAGGAGAGAGAGCAGGGTGGGCTGGGTCCGACTGGGAAACACACAGGGATGATGACACAAGAAGGCGTGGATCACAGCAGGACCAGAGGCCCCTTCTGGAAGCTTCCTGTTTGCTACTTCATGTCACCTGTTGCAGCCTATCCCAGTTAACAGACAAGAAGACTGAGGCCCATGTCATCAGTCACACAGGACAGCGGGCTGGATTAGCTGAGGGGACCATGGCAGGAGCCGTCTGAGCTCCACCTCTCCATCCCGAAGTGACTTCAAACCCCTGTGAGTCAGGGCTGGAGCCGACACCCCTCCCAGGCTGTGGGACCACCCCAGCAACTCACTACTAACCAAGGACCAGCTGCAGCATGAGGGCTACCGATCAAGCCCCGACTAGCCCAGGACCACGGGGGGCTGTCATGATGCATGCTCGGTTTAATGGTCCTGGGTTTGGGACCGTCTATCACATTATACTTTAGCCGACTCGTGCTGGATGCCAGGCCTCAGCGGGCAACACCCGAGGTGCTGTGGCCAGGACACCCTCTCTGCCAGAGGCAGATCCATAAAGGAATTTGTCGCAGCAAGTCTTCCAAGCTGGAGAAATCATAGACCATTACCAGTGAAAGCTGCTTCTAAGGAGACAAACCGCAAACGAAACTGGCCCCTGCCACCAAGTGGAGAAAAGAGTGTGGGGGTCCTACCTCTAGGTCCCGTTCCAGGTCGTAGTTCTCCAGGGTCTGGAAGGCACTGGAATACACCTCCACCGCCTTGGCGTGGAAGACCATCTCTATAGTGACAAAGTCCAGGAACATTTTCTGTGGAGAGAGAGGAGCCCACAGCCCATCAGGAGCACGCTGAGGGTCCCGGGGGGCCGTGAGCACGGCCAAGGTCCTTGCGCAGTGAGCCCTAGGCGGGAAGGCTGGCATGAGTTTGGCTGTAACTTTGAACCTGGTCATACCGCAGCAGAATTCACATCTAGGCCCAGGTTCCAGCAGTGACGGAGAGGCCTGCCCCACCCACATCCTGAGCCCTCCACCTCCCTGAGCTAACGCTGGAAGTTGCTGCAGAATCCTCCACTGCTTCCTGGGTGAGTCCGGCCCCTTCTCCACCCTTGGCTCCGTCCAGATAGATGTTGCTGCTTTGTGGTTCTGATCAGAGTAGCAAGTGTGTGTGAGGCTGGCTCCCTCCATGTCACCAGTGCTCAGCTGTGTCCCCTCGCTGACACAGGTCCTTGCAGGTTGAGGGCACCCGTGTCCTCAGGCCTTCGCACCCAGCACAGCTGTGCTGGGAGGGAGGCGGCTGCCTAGAGGCCCCGGCCTGACTGCAGCTAGCTCCGCGAGACGTGAGGAATGACAGGAACATTGCTTACTGGAACCAGATGGGCTGCTGGGTCTAGGTGGTCCTCATGGGGAGCTACCAGTGTGTGTTGGGCCTCCAAAGTGGCCCTACTGTGTGTGTATCTGGGGGCTTCAGCCCAGTGCTAGGGGTGGGGCCTGCAGTTTGGACTCCATTTCCGGAAAGGAACAGTGGTGCTGGAAGAGAGATGGGGAGGGACCTGAGACCGCTCTCTCCCAAACCCTGGCCACACTGGGACCAGCAGCTGCCAACTCAGAGGTCAGAGTTCAGGCCTCGCTATACCAGTGCCAGAAAACAGCTCATTCTCACTGGGGCCTTGGCGTGATTCTCTGTGCAGTAGATGGCCCACGGAACCAGGAGCCCGGGCCTCTGCTGGGCCTTAGCCTGCCCCAGGCTGACACCCACTCTAGGTGCAGGATTTCAGATGCTGTCCAAATCCCCCAACGCCTCCGTACAGGGGACGCTAACCAGGCTGGGAGCTGCACGGAGACTAGCAGTGCAGAGACCTGACTCGTTCAAGGTCTGGCTTGCTGGCTTGACCCTTTAAGATTTGGAGGGCTTTCTAGGGGCGCTTCGCCTGCCGCCTCTCTGCTCCAGTCCCAGTGTGTACATCTGGAGGCTGACTGCTGCAAGGAGTCAGGGGCTTTCTGCTCAGATGGCACATGTTAGGCACTTAATGATGGCCTGCTGGTGCCCTCCGGCTCTGCCAGCAGAGGGCGTGGGGTGATCCCTTTGCATGCAATCATGCCTTCACATGTGTGTACATGGACCATGCTGAGTGCCAGGTGCTGGGTCACAGGGACATGCCACGTGGTATGGGAAGCTAGTGCTGACACAAGGTGTCAGGGGTATTCTCCCCCAACCGTGCCATCTGTGTCTCCGAGTGGAGACCCTGCTCTGCTGGCACAATACCCCCGGTGCCATGGCGCTAGGCACACAGTAGGAGAATAGCCCACATTGGTCAAATTAGTGCCTGCAAGAGGAGTGCAGCTCCCCCGTGGGGGCAGAGTAGAGTGGGAGAAGAGAGCAGCTGGGATGGAGTGGGGAGGACTTTCTGCCAGATAGCTGTGAGCTGGACAGGGCCCAGGGCACTTAGGTCCTACCTGGAGTGTCAGGGCAGCAGGCTGGGAATGGCTACAGGGTGTGCAATTGGGAAGATGGCCCAGGGAGGGGGTGCACGCGGGGCTGGGGCCTGAGGATAGGCTCGTGCTGCAGACCCTCGTCTGCTGGAGCTGGGCTCTGGGCCCGGGCAGTGTGCCTCCCAAGGTCTCTTCCTGCTTGGGAGCTGTGCCCAGGGCCGCTGCCGGCTGGCCTCCGGGCAAGCCAGCTGTGCCGGACAGCTGCCCTGAGCAGCCAGGATTAACTGTTCTAGGCGGCCCATGGGCACAGGCAGACAGGCACGCACATGGACACATGCGTGCCTGTACCCAGACACGTCCCCACGGGGCAGCCCACACCTGACCTGCAGGTCCCGCAGCTTCTGCCTCTGGAAGCCATCCACTGTCTCTTGCAGCTGCTGGGTGGTGCGGCTGGCATCTCCTGAGGCTCTCTGCACGCGGCTCTCAGCCTGGCCCGGGGACACAAGAGGTAGAAGATGTTGTGGGATTGGTGCTGACCCATTGCCACCATGTTAGAAGGTTCTCAGAGCCTGTGCCCTCCTCTGGGGATCGCTCTCCTGCCTCCCAGTGCTTCCCGGCCTTCTGACCACCCAGGGACAGATTGCTTGGACAGTGGCTGCAGGGGCAGGTGCTGGGGGACAGAACTGCTTCCCAGCTCTTTGTCCTGGAGCAGCCTGCTCAAGCTCTCTGAACCTGCGTCCCCTTGCATGCAAGCTGGGAGCCTGCTGTGCAGGGCATGGTGGACATTAATCCTTGGTTTCCTTGGTTTCACTGGTAATTAACCTCAGTATGTGGGGCTCCCAGCTCCCTGGTTCCTGGGGTTCCCACCTATGGATGCCACACCTGGCCCATGGAAAACAGGCTGTGAGGGTTGGACGCGGCCGGCCCTTGACTGTCTGGGTGGCACGGTGCTTGTGATCCTTCTCAGCCTGTTTGCTCCCCTTCAAGGTCAGGGGCCCTGAAGTAGGGTGAGGGAACCAGCTTCCCAGGAGCCAGAACCCTGGCCACTTGGGGAGGGTCTTTGTTACCTGCGTGTGCCCCGCCTGCCCCTGGCCCCTTCCCAGGAGCCAGAACCCAGGTTGGAGCCAGCCTTGGGCAGGACCAGGGCATCAGACAGGAAGAAGACAGGCCCTGCAGTGGGGCAGGGAGGGGCGCAGCTGGTGCTCAGCCCTGCCCCCAGCTCCCCTCTCCCGGGCTGGGCCCCCTGCTACCTGGCTCCTCCCCTTGAGCCCCAGCTGGTCTGTCTGAGCTGCAGCCTCCTGGTCCAGATGACAGGATACAGCTGGTGGTGCCCCTGTCCTGTAAGCGGGGTGCCTTCCTCCTCCCCTGGGCTGAGCTGGGCTCTGTGCACTCCTGCTTCTGTCCAGCGAGGTCACCTGGCCACTTGGGGAGGGTCTTTGTTACCTGCGTGTGCCCCGCCTGCCCCTGGCAGACCCACGAACTCACCTGTGACTGAGCGTGGTCCGTTAAGGAGTCACGTTCATCCCGAGCGCCCCACCCCCACCCCAGGGAGGTCCCAGCTGACAGGAGGAGGCCAGTGCTAGGTGGGCAGCCTGGGCCCAGCGGCAAGTCGGATACAATCGTCTGCCGATCCGAGGGCGCCCTTTGCCTCAGCTTCTCCAGCTTTTCCAGTTGTTTGATCTCATGCTTCCGGACGTGTTGGAATTTCTTAATCTCAGCCTGAAGGGAAAGACAGAAGTGGCTTCTGAGAGTCCCAACGACGGCTGCTGCCCGCCCCCAGGTGTCACTTGCTTACCCGGGTCTGCTTTATCTGTGTCCCGTAGAGCTTCAGCGGGTCAACCACCTTGTTCTCCAGCCTCTCCACCTGGGGGCGTCAGAGAGTCAGAGCAGAGGAGGCCGCCTGGATATGCTGTCTGCACCCCACAGGCCCCAGGAGGGGTGGGGAGGCCAGGAAGGTGGCACATCCCTGCCCCTTGCTGGCAGGGTAGCCAGCCCCCAGTTTGGGCACCAGGCCCAGCTTTGCTTCCTGGCTCTGCGGCATAGCCCTGAGCTCAGCCAGCCTTGCTCTCGCCCAGGAGGCAGGAACATCGCTGTGCCTATTGGGCTTTCGCACCTGGGGGCAACTACCCAGTCCAGAATCCAGGGATGGGGGTCATTGCAGGGGAGGATGGATGAGGGAGGGGTGTGCGCTGAGCCCCCTCAGGCAGCCCTGCTCCCTGCCGTGTGATGAGGACAGCACTGGGGGCTACTGGAGCTGGCCAGGGACAGAACTACACCCCACCTCTCCCGCTGTGGTTTGCCAAACTGCCTTAGGGCATCGTTGGCCACTCAAGCCTGAAGCTGGGAGCAGCAGCAGGTCCAGTGTGCTGCCACTTGGCACAGGCAGGTGGGCAGAATCCAGTCCTGGCTGTAGGTCCCAAGGGTGCAGTGGCCCAGGGTTCCCATCCACTCACCTGGGCCTGCCGGTAGTCCTGCACCTTGGCCAGGTCCTCGGCGAAGTCCCTCAGGGTGGCCCGCAGCTCAGGGCTCTCGGTATTGGCAAAGTTGAAGAGCCACCTGACCAACTGGTCAGCCTTGTCACGCAGGCGTGCTGTCTTGCGCGTGTAGGCGGCCAGAAGTGTGCAGAGCTGCCCCAAGTACTTGTCGGCATTGGTCACCGTGGTCTCCATGGCCTTCACCTGGCTGTCCCTGTGAGGTGGGGGTGCAGGGGTCTGAGTGAGGCAGGGACCCTGGGCCCACAAGGTGGACACGCAGGGGCCACCTCAGTTGGCTGCCTAGTCCCCGGGGTCACCCCACACTCAAACTGACATAAGCAGGCTCGTAGGGAGTGGCAAGCAGGAACCACGTGTAGGCATGGTTGCATACCCAGCCTTGCCTCGTGGGACTCTTGACTGCTGAAACTCCCCAGGCACCCCCACATGCTGCCCAGGCCTCTCCTTTCTCTGAACCACAAAGCATTCTCTTCCTATTTCTATGAGGAAGAGAAATGGGGTGGCTGGAGGGCACCCCTCTGTCCACAGCATCTGCCTCACGTGGCACTGGGGGAGCTGAAGACCCTGCCTGCTGTAGCTGGGCATGTCCCTGTGCCCGGGGCTGCTCACACTGTGCGCTGAGACAACCACCTGGTGTCACTGTCCACTTCCTGTCTTACTGCCAGCCCAGACACTCGCCCCATGCTCCCTCAGGGCACCCAGCACCTCCTGTGGGTGGGCTCCTGTCGCCCTGTATTGTCATGTGTTCCCAGAGACAGCGAGGGAGGCTCAGGCCTGGCACCTGCCCTCCTCCCTGGGGTCTCCACTGCCTGCCCACACTGTGTCCTGGTTTGTCACTGTTCGTGCTATCCATCTGTGTCCTGGCTGGTCACTGCATCGCTGCTCTGTTCTGGCCGAGCCTCCCTGGGGCCCTGCTTCCTGGTGGCTGGCCTTTGCTGTCCCCAGCACTGCAGCAGGGGTGCTGCTGTTCCTCCCAGGGAGTCCCCAGACCCCGGTTCAGCATCGCCAGCATTCCCAGCTTCAAAGTGCAGATTCGCAGGTAGCCATCACCCCTCCCTTACCTCGCAAGCCCCTGGGAACCAGGCCAGGCAGCTGCACTTGGTAAGGCACATACGGGGGATAGGGGTGGGAGCCCAGGGCCCCAGGACCTTTCACCTCCCATAGAGCAAGCAGGTATGACAACCGAGCAGCAGGGAGGGCGACAGGTGCTGAGGGCGGGGTCGGGCCCGGCCTGAGGTAGGGATGAGGGTTGCCAGGTGGAGGCCGCAGGGCAGGTACATTTAGCTGTGGTGGGGGCAGTGACACAGGCGGCAGTCAGAACGCGGCTTCCAGAGGCCTCTGTCATCAGGAGCCACAGTGCCTGGGCCTTGAGGAGGGGCGGGCAGAGGGCTGGGGCGGGGCGAGAAGGGGAGTTCATTTCCCCAGCAATCCCAGCCACCCTCACGCTCACTCTTCTTGGTGCATCAGAGCCCTGAACCCCATGCCCACCTCTGTCCCTCCCGGCGCCTCAGGTAGGCACTCACCTGGAGAGGACGAGGTTCATTGTGCCCGAAGGAGGCGGCTGTCCAGGGCCGCCAGGGACCTGCCTGTGTGGTCGGGAGCTCTAGGGACGCTGTCACCTGGTTGCTAGGCGACCGGGCCGCCCACAGCAGGCCTGGGCAGAGTGGCAGCAGGTTGTCCTGGCAACGCTCCCAGAGGCGGGAGGCCTCTGAGCCTTGCCTGCTCAGGGCTTCAGGTGCTCAGACAGGGGTACCTCCAGGGCCCCTCCTCGTCCTGCGCAGGTGGCAGCTCCAGTGGGACTAGGCGTGGCCTGGGACTCAGCCCTCACTTCCAGCCTGGGTGGATGGGGTCCCCGGCTGCATCTCCTCCACACTGCCATCTCAGCATGGGGGATAAATTCCTAGCAGAGACAAAACTAAGGTGTAAACGGAAGGGTAGGGCTCACCTAGTGAGATGGTGTGTCCAAAAGTGGGTGCAAGCAGCCTCCCTCCAAGGAGATGGTGCTTGCCTCCACCCAAATTCAGGCCGAGCCTGCGGGTTTCTGGAAGGGTGTCGTGGCGTCTCCATGTGGAACTCAATGTCACCACAATACTTTGGCATGATGGCAAGTGAGGTTCGGTGCATCATGGGAAAGCTGGTATACAAGGAGACAGCTGAGGGGTTCTTGTCTTCACGGGAAAATTCAGGCGTGGGCCCTACTTTGTGGCGCAGTGGGCTAAGCCTCCATCTGCAGCTCCAGCACCCCTCCCTGAGCGCTGGCTGCCCCATTTCTGATCCAGCTCCCTGCCAGTGCATCTTGAAAAGCAGCAGAGGGTCGCAGTGCTTGGGTTCCTGCACCTGTTATGTGGCAGGTGTAAATTCCTAGGGCCACGCTCAAAGGAGTGTCCCCCACTCGCACTGTCCTCCCAGTGCCCCGTGCTGACTCAGTGTGGAGAGAACAAGACGTGACCGTGACCCTGACCATCCCCCGGCGGACTGCCCAGGCGGTCACTGTGGACGTGTCTGGAGACTTCACAGCAGTGTTGTGTGACAGCAAGGCATCAGGGCAGGCTGATCCAGGCTCAGTCTTTGTGTGGCTTTTGGGTGGGTCACTCGGCCTCTTTGAGCCTCTCTCTTCTCCCCAAGTAGGACGGAATCCTGACAGTAGTTTGGGAACACGAGTCCCTGGCATGGGGGTGCAGGGACCAAGGCCAGGGCCTGCCCTCGGGTTCCTCATGGCTGGGCACACTCCACCACACGGTACTCCTTGGCTGAGCTGCTTTGCCTCCCTTCCCTGGTGCCCTCCCTGGCACTCCTGCTGGCCATCCCCCGGCACGGGCTCCGTGTTTCCTGACACCCTGCCTGAGGTGTGGGCATGAACCAGTGTTTGGTGCAGCCACAGTTCCCCCACCCTGGAAGGCAGTTCCCAGCAGACACCCATGCCCACCACATGGTGCCAGGTCAGTAGGGGGATCCTGTGCTGGACCCTGTACCTGCTGTCTGGATGTTCCTCACCGACTCAGCGGCCTTCGCTCCCAGGGCCTGGGCTGTGTCCAACAGGGTTCCCCCAAAATGCATGTCCCCCCAGGACCTCAGCCTGTGACCTTATTTGAAGATGAGGTCACTGGCAGCTGTAATTAGCCCAGATGAGTCAGTCACTCGGGAGCCAGCTCCAGGGACGGTGTCCTTATAAGAAGAGGAAGCAGAGACATATTTAGGGCAGCCAGGGGGCAGAGCCTGCAGCCACGCCACACGGCAACTGGCCAGGGAGGCTCTGGCTGGCCGGAAGGAGCAGCCCTGCCCCCACCCTGATGGCCACTGCTGGCCCCCACACAGCCTGCGATGGGGGTGGTTATCTCAGGGCAAGCCTGGGAAGTGGCTCTGGGACCCAGAGAGCAGAGTGCTCAGGTAGGCCATGCCCGGGCTTCTTAGGCGCTGCTGTGGCTGCCCCCATGATCCATGCCTGGCAGCTTCTCTGGGGACCCCCATGCCCATAGGCCCAGGGTGGGAGTGGGGTACACCATGTGACCACCAAGCCTCAGTCAACCCCTAGGAATGCATCTGAATGGAGCGTGCCAGGCTGAGCATGGCTTGGAAGGAAGAAAAGGGCATCTGACAGGGAAGCCAGCTGGGACACGGAGACATCTGTGGCCAGAGATAGAGAGGTCCAGGGCTGGGGTCCCTGCGGGAGGGTGTGCCCTGCTGGGAAGGGACCCACCTTGCCAGTAGAAGATGGGAGGTGAGGGCACCATGGCTCATGGACTCTGACTCCAGGGACTCCAACCCCAGCCACACCTTTGGGTGTGCTCGGCCCTGGCCTTGCTCTCATTGCTTCTTGTAGCAGCCGCACAGCATGGGGCTGGCAGGGAAGGGGCACCCTGGGCCGCAGCTGACCCCACAAGGAGTAGCTTCCTAGTCACATTGGGCCTCTGTGGTCTTGCTGAACCCAAGCCTGGCCAGGGCCACACGTTCCGGGTCTGTCCTGGGGAGCAGTGGGTCCATGCGTTGAGGCATGGCTGGACGAAGCCGGTGACAGTGGCGCCTGCCCTGACTGAGCCAGGCAGTGATTGGCAAAGGCCGTGAAAGAACCAAGAACCCCAGGTAGGCTCTGTGGAACCTGTCCCCTGGCCAGGCCAGGCACCGTCCAGGGGCAAACTATGAACCCACTCCCCAGGACCAGTCCCTCCTGGTGCCCCTTGGGTGCCATGGCCAGTCCAGCAGGGCCTAAAGAGGTCACTGCCTGCCTGTTTGCTGTTGTGCGTGGGGGGTCATGGTACACAGGGCTGGGGCAGCCCAGCCTTCCTGAGGGCTCAGGCTGGAAGGGATCCCCAGTTCAATAAACGTGTCCATTACCTGGAGTGGGGCACAGGAGAGCAGGGGTGGGAGGGCATCGCAAAAGCTCTAGCGAGGGTAGATGAGGGGGACATAGGTAGCCAGGTCTGCTGGGGGTTGGGGTGATCTCTGTGCCTGTGGGGAGCAGACTAGCCGGTCCCTAAGAACGCCAAGTTCCCAAAGGGCCCCTAGCAAGGGGGAAACTGGCTTCGTGGTAGCCGGTCTACAATACCTGCCTCACAGTACAGACTACGCACACAGAGGAGTATTGTGCAGCAGTGAAAAGGCAGGCCTGTGGAAGCCACGCTCCCGGGAGACGCCATCCCTGGGGACCTGCACTTCCTGGGAATCTGGCTGCATGAGCTGGCACTGCAGTGCGGCCTGGTGCACATGGTCCCCTATGGGAGCGCCGCTCGGATGCAGCTCCCGGGAAAGCCGTATGGGACTGGGACCTGGGCCCCTCCTCCCACGAGGCAGGCCTCTGCCTGACCCAGGCCAGGATGTGGTGGCCATTTAGGGAGTGGACCAGCAGATGGAAGACCTCTCTGTCACTCTGCTTTTTCAAGTACATAAATAAGTTGATCTTTTTTTGTTGTTGTTTTTGTTTAAAGGATCGGCAAACTCACAGACGTAGAATAGGTTAGTGGTGGCAAGAGGGAGGAAGTGTGGGTGACTGCTGAGGAAAGTGTGGGTGACTGCTTGGGGCTGTCCTGAGAGCGCTCTGGAATCAAGTGGTGCAGGCTGCAGCCATTGCGACTGTGGTAAAACTCAGAGATGACCCCAAGCTGCAGGGGAGTGCTCAGCCCACATCCATGTGGGAGCTCCTAGGTTCGATCCCAGCTTGGCTCCAGACCCTGGCTTCCTCACACACCCACGGGAGGTTCAAGTACTCAGGTGTCCACCTCGTCCTGGGAGACACCAGGGCCACTGCAGGCATCGTAGGAGGGTGAATCAGCAGGTGGGAACTTTCTCTCATTCTCAAATATATTTTAAAATATAGATGTTATGGTTAGTGAATCATGGCAATTACAAAGCCAACCAGGGAGAAGGGCGGGGAGGGGATTCTGTGCCTCCTCCTGAATCCCGGGGACCTCTGTGGCTGCAGCTTGTATGCGTGGTGGGACAGAAAGTAACAGAGCAGCCCAGGGTGCTCACGGTTCCTGGCACAGCACAGCAGCGTCTCCTGCTAGGCGCGGAGGATGACCCAGAGCTGGTGGGGACCCGGCTGGGAGCGGGCGCCAGGACGCCTGCACCAGTTTCCAGTCCTCCATTCCCTGGTCTCTAGAGCTGAGGCTGTGGCCCTTCCTTGCCCAGGGAGCCTGAGGCCTGAGAGCGGTGCAGGCTTGGTTGTCAGGGACACCAGGCTCCACGTTGGCTGCATTCCTGCCCTCAGGGCCTTAGCTGTTCCCATCTGGGAAGTGGGTGGCACTCCTCCTGCTGGAGGTTCTGCTGCAGGGCTCAGCGTGTACCGCATGGAGGGTGTCACAAGGCCCCGCGGTGGGGAATCCACAGCAGCACTGAGTGGCACAGCAGGTGCACAGTACACACTTTGTGAATAAATGAATGAGTTCCAGACTCCAGGGAACCTTCTGGATGCTCCTGGGTGGTCTGGCCCTGGGGCTCTGAGCAGCTTGCAGAGCCCAGGGAATGTGGTGGGAGGTGCGGCGGGGGGTGTGCAGCAGGGCCTCCCCTATCTTGGCTGTGCCACTGCCGCCTTGTCCTTCCCCACCTGGCCCCATCCATCTCGCCTGGGGCACTGCCTGGCTGGCGTACCAGGATGCTGTTAGGCTGGGATGGGATGCTATCCACGTCCCCCCACCCGCCCAATTCTCAGGTTACATTCCATTCACAAAAGCAAGCCAGACAGTCAGCCTGAGCCTGCTGTAAGAAAGGGAGGTGGGGGGGGGACGCTGGCCAGAGCCCTGCCCCTCCCCACTTGCCACACACAGCCAGGCACAGGGGCTGTCAGGCCCCACCCCACCCCCGGCTGGGAGCCACGTCTGTGCAGCAGGACAGGTGGAGGGACCAGCGCGAGAGGCGGAGGTTCTGCTTATCAGCCGCCCTCAGTGCCTGCCAGCCAGAGCTGCTGGTAAGTTGTCTGCTCTGCAAGGGGGCCGGGCAACAAGCCACGGGCTGCTTGTGGGTTTTGCCTCATGCACACAGAGGCCCTGCTTGGGCTGGTGGGGACCAGAGAGCTGACACATGGCAACCCCACAGGCCCACCACATCCAG